TTATAATAGTGTTTTAATTAAAGTGCTATCAAAGTCAGTATTTTGCATGTTTTTTGTTTGTTTTTTTATAGCACTCTAAACAAAAAGCGCTAATATATAACATATGTTTGATAGCGCTTTCAAATAAAGTGCTAATAAATGGTACATATTTGGTACAATATTTTTAATAAGTACAGTACAATATTTTTTCTTACACAATCATTTTTTTTGGTGTAAATATAAAATAACTATATTCAATTCAACACAAATAACGCTTTAAGTTACTCATTGCATATATATTATGATCCATCAAATACCAAATAACATTTTAAATTACCAAATCCTATTGTTTCCAAATATCATAACATATAGAATATTAAGAGGGCGTTTGCATAGCCAAATTTGTAGATGCCCATCTATGAGTACTTCAATCCAAATCCAAAAACATACAATCAAATTCTCTAAACAAAACACCAAAAAAATAAGAAAGGATAACAAAACAATCCCATGTAGTAACCACCTTCATGATCCAAAAGCGTTGAACTCATAGATACAATCACTAATTAGGCAAAATAATTGCTTCTTGTTTTCCTGTATCATAGAAGGAATATTGATTATGTATTGTACAATAAAAACTAATTCAACATATAAAGAATAATCAAACATTTAATATGGGTCTAACAAGAAGCGCATAAAATAAGGAATGATTATTATAAACTAATAACAATAAATCGATATAACTAATGCAATAATTGAACTAATTAAGTCTAACAAGAACATGACTTGTAAATATATAGACCACAATTTCCATTATTAGATGCATATAAACACTAAACAGAATATAATTCAAATTCTCAAAATATACATAAACACTTAAGTGTGTGTAACTTTCTTTTCATGATCCAGAACTAGATATCAAACACCTTACAATTGTTACTACGAATATCTAAAAATTTCAAGTAGAAACGGAAAACTATAAATCAATCATACAATAAGATATAAGTCATTTTTCCGTATTTTCCTATTTCAAAATTTAAATTCGAGACCAAGAAAGAACACTCAGTACCTCTGTGCCATATCTTCTAAACCAATAAAATACTAAAATCATTTATACGACAACTCTAAATCCAACTCAAAAATTAAAATTAAACATCTAAGTCAAAACATTTGAACTCTAAATCCATGAGTAATATTTGTCTTGTTTATCAAGTATCAAGTCAAGGAAAAACTCACCGAAAACATCATCCACCACATAAGTAGCCCAATCCTCCTTAACCTCAGTTAACTTATCATGAGAGTAGGTACGCCATTTGTGGTCAAAAAAGTACTTCAAATATGAAAACATCAACAATTAATCGTGTTAGAATTAAATTATATTAATTTAATTTACAAAAGAATAATAATAATAATTAAAATCACGTACATTTGTGGGGATCATAAATTCATTTTCCATTATGACCTCTTTCATAAATCGCATTACAAAGTATCCACAATCAACGCCATTAATTTGACGAGGACACTACAAAAAAAAATTATATCGATTAATTTTACTCCACATAATTGTTTTAAAATAACATTAATTTAGACACATACCTTTATTTTTTGCCATGAGATTTTCTTTGACTTTGACACTTTAGGCACTTTAGAACTACTATTAGCACGATAAATTTGCAAAGCGCTAACAAAATGAAATTAACTTCAAATGAGTAATTATATAAATAATAATACGTACATAAATTTTAAATTAAAAGAGTCTATACTCACTTCTCAAACTTTGTTTTAAAATTTTGATGTTTTGTTGGCTCACCATTCAACGGATCCATGTAATATATCACCTCAGCATTGAGATTGATGACAAGCAACACCCAATGTTTCCTGCACCCAACATTTAAATATTGCATTAAAGATTCACATTCATTAGAGTTTTTCTCGTTAATTTAATAACTTTTTGAATATAAATCTCACCCTAGATTACAAGGTGCAAGAATCATCTTATCCTTGAACTCCTCATCTTTCAAAAGTATTTTTGCTATACCATTTCCTAGATTATCCTCCCGTGATACATGTGGAGATATGAAAGAGAACTTATTTATTAATCCATTTGGACTAATAAACTTGTCATACAAATACCTAGAAATGAACAACAATTGATATTAATATATTTGTCACCAATGTGAATATTAGTCAACAATACAAATAACATTAATATTAATAATATATTTGTCAAATAAGAGAATATTTGTAATAATAGAGGTACCTGGAAAATACAGTGATAATAGATGCACTTAACCAATTGTGATCAAGAATCTCCTTTATACTCTCTACACGTAGTTGCTCTAAAAACTCCTCACCAAATATACTTTCCTCCATTTTTATTTGAATTAATGATCCAAACCTCATCATCTTTTTCACATACATATCAAGGAAAGGTAAATTTGCAATACCAGCTGAACCGCCAACTCTAGGAGACTCTTCGATTTTGAATTTTTTGTTACTTTTGTTGGGTGATGAAACTGAATATTCAACACTGTGTTGAATATTGTTACCTTTGTTTTGGGATTGACCAGGAATCTAAAAAGTTGTATTAATTAATATTAGTGATCAAATAATAAAACAAGTAGCGATCAAGCAACTTGATTATAAGTAATTTACCTTTTCACATTCAGCAACAAATTCAAGAAGTTTCGTTGGCCATGGCACAATTGTTCCTATTGCTTGACCAACCATGGATACATCTCCATCTTCAACAGATATAGGCAAGGGGGCATTTGGCACAATAGCAACTTCGATATTAACCTTGACATATCCAGGTGGTAACGTCATGCCATGTACCGTGTTACCTTTGGTGTTATATAGTTTTCCACGAGCAACCAAACAACGACTCGGGGAGGATAAATATATATTAACAGGAAAGAGACCCTAAACCAATAAGATATGAATAAAAAGATTAACATCATTATTGAAAGAACAAACATATCTAATTTGAGAGATAATAAAGAAACCAATTACCTCGGGAATGTTGCCAAATGATCCAGGGTTGCAAGAACCTTTATCACTAGGTAGTCGACTCTCAGCTACTTTTTCTGGTTGTTTCCTTTCTACCACTTGTTCAAGGTGTTGCCTCTGTGCCACTTTTTCAGGTTGTTGCAACCTCTCTGACACTTGTTTAGTTTGTTGCCTTTCTTCCACTTCTTCAGTTTGTTGCCTCTCTAGCTTCTCTCTATCCAACTTATCTCTCTCAATCTTTTCTCTCTCTAGCGCCTCCAATCTACTTTTGAGTGAATTACAAAAGCCATAAAAATTTTCAAAATCCATTTGTGTGGGGCGATTTTGGCGTGGTAATATGTCCCTAGAACATACCCCAAAACCATAAGTCCTAACACGTCCAGAGTAGTTTGGGAGATTAAGAGCCTCAAATAATATGTTTGTGGGACCAAGGTCTTGTCTCTCTTCTTCAGATAGAGCTTATGTTAACTTCTCCTGACATTGATAAGTATAAAAGAAATAACCAATAGTTAGATACAAGTTGCAATTAATGGCTATTCTATCAAAATAAGACACAAAGACTCAATTAATTAAGGAAAATCGAGTTTAATGACTTCAAACTAACTAACAAAATACAAATTCGGTAACAATGATGAGTATAGAAAAAGTGTCACATCTATAATGTGAGCATTTTGGAAATAACATCTATAGTGTCACATCTAAAATTCGACTTACACATTGATCCACAACTCTTTGAACATTCTCATTATCAATCACCCCGCTCTTATTGACGCGGGCAGCCTTCCACACTTGACTACGGTTTATCTCACCAACTTCTGACTCTTCTACCTGTATATACATTTTTACAAATTAACATAGCAATTAAATTTTTTTATAATATTGTATAGTACATTTATACACATACTTACCATATCAGCTTCAAGACGAGCACACCCTAAACGTGACTTTCTATAGGGATGTTGAGGATTTAACGATCTTTCTCGATTCTCATCACTAACTTTCTGCATTTATTATAAAAAATGCATCCCACAACACTATCACTAATACTATAATCATGCAAAACTTTAAGGATCCATATCCAAGTGATAAAAGTATTACCTGAAACTTTGCAGTCATATGTTGGGCTGCAAATTTATCCCAATCATCTTGTTTTATACAAAAAGAATATTTGGCCGGACGATGTTTAACAAAACCACCCTTACTATCTTTTAGATATGACCTCTCCATTTTTGTTCTGAATGCCCTGTGCAACTTTCCAGCTTCTCTATATACAAAGGCACGATGTTCCTCGCCAATTATAAAAGCTTTCTGCAAATAATTCAGTTTATTAAAACATAGTTCAGTTTATTTAAACATCCCAATGGATAGATTAACGAAATTAAAATTTTACAACTAGCTTAAGTTAGTGTGTTACTTCAATTTCATCCCAAATGTTTTGTTTATAAACCCCCACAGCCTCTTTATTTTTTTTCGCGCTCCAATGGTGAGCTTTGTGGTTTGAATCATATTGAAGAAGCAGTTGTTCTTAGTACGTGTAACAGAATGGAGATTTATGTTGTTGCACTTTCTCAGCATCGTGGTATCAAAGAAGTCACTGAATGGATGTCAAGTGTAGGTTCTATCATCACTTGTTTATCTATAAGCACTTCTTATGAAAATAAAATGCCAATAAAAAGAACCGTCTTTGAGGGTGTATAAGTCGGGCTATTGCGCATAACCCAAAAGCCCAAAATTTGTCACACTAAAACCGTGGTTAAAAAAGATTTCATAAAATATTATCATGATTAAACAAAACTTTTACTTGTTTTGTCATAGTTAAACTTCAACTAACCAACACAAAGCTTTCAAAAATTTGAGACGGCTATGTCAATAGATATTTAGATAGATTTATTTGAGTTTATGTATTGATATAAACATTTGTAAGACTATTTTGGTGAGTGTATGAAAATTACTTATGGTATTTTCAGGCAGCCATTTTGTTATCAAACTTGTCATTTGAGACTGTTGGGAATGTAATGGAACCAGAACAGTTATGCGACGCGGTTAATTTTATTTTATCCCTGCAGGTATATGTTTGGTATTTGATGGAGTAATTGAAAATTCTGAGCAACTTAAATACTTCAATTGAATTACCTTCATTTCTAATTTTTCGAGATTTCATTAAGCACTACTACTAAGTATTCAGGAATAAGAAAAATGGTTTTGTTCAAATTTAATTAGAACTTCAACCACTAGGCATCATTGGCTTAATCATTTTGCTCGTCGGCATTAAATATATTACAGAATAGAAATGGTGGATTTGCTTCCTACGAACTCACAAGATCTTATGCATGGCTGGAGGTACAACAAATTACTTTCTCTATTGTAGATTCAATTCTTAAATGATTTAACACTTAATTGGTTTCTGTGACAGAAAATAAATCCAACTGAAACATTCGAAGATATCACCATTGATTATCAGTATGTACCGGACATTGACACATTTCCTTGTAACAATTTCTGTCTGTCAATTTGTGAAAAATGATTCCAATATAGGTATGTAGAATGCACATCAGCAGCGATTCAAAGCCTCACCTTATTCACTCAACGATATCCGCAGCACAGGAAGGTGGAAATAGAGACCTGCATAGCTAAGGCTGCAAACTTCATCGAAAGTGTACAGCTAGCTGATGGCTCATGGTTTGGTTTGCTTTACTAGTCCAGTAACTTAATATTCAACAAAATGATTTTAATTTCGTAACGCGGGTTTAACGAAATAGGTATGGATCATGGGGGGTATGCTTTACATATGGGACATGGTTTGGAATAATTGGGCTTATAAGAGAAGGTAAGAGGTACAAAGATAGCAAAAGCATTAGAAAGGCATGTGAGTTTTTGCTTTCAAAACAAGACAAGGTTTGTGGTGGCATACCTGCATCAGAGCTTTCACAGTATCTATTTCTTCTATACAACAAAGATGCAACCCAACACCTTTTTGAAGTATCAGCAGGACTTGATTCTCTTGTAATGGGAGAAGGTCAGATCCTTGCACAAGTCAAGCAAGTTGTGAAAGTGGGACAAGGAGTTAATGGATTTGGAAGAAACATCAGTGGATTATTCAAGCACGCAATCACCGTCGGTAAAAGAGTCCGAACTGAAACCAACATTTCGGCCGGAGCAGTTTCTGTGAGCTCGGCTGCGGTCGAGTTGGCAGTGATGAAGTTACCTGATCAAGCCTCACATGGAAATGCAAGAATGCTAGTTATTGGAGCTGGCAAAACACTTAGATCATTTGCTTCTGGTAGTGAAACAAACAAACGTTGCATGGAAGATGCTGGTGTTGTTGACTTCTTAGCTTCTACTGTGGTAAACAATAGTTGCAACATCGATTCCGCATCTTTATTATTGTCAGAGACTAATGTTAATCTGGTTGATGAAGCATTAAGCATACTTCATAACCTTCATGTATCTGAAGCTGGATTGAAGAATCTACTAGCTTTCAAAAAAGGTCAATTTATCGAGTCCTTAACAAAAGTTTTACAGAAAGGTTTCTTTGAATCAAGAGCTTATGCAGTTTTCTTGCTTAAATCTATGACAGAAGTAGCTGAACCAGTGCAGTTACTTCATCAAAAAACCGATTTATTCGTGGAACTGGTGCAAGTTTTGAAGGATCAAATATCACAAAAGGTATCAAAAGCAGCCCTTCAGACACTAATTATCCTTTGTCCATGTGGAAGAAACAGAATCAAAGGTGTTGAAGCAGGAACAGTTCCTGTCTTAATAGAGCTTCTGTTAGAGAATTGCAAAGACATAAAACCAAATGAAATGATGTTGGTTTTATTGGAATGTCTCTGTCAGTGTGCAGAAGGAAGAGCTGAACTTCTGAGACATGGTGCAGGAATGGCTGTTGTATCTGCGATCCGCGATGAAATAAACGATGTCGAGATAATCTACAAACTGCTTTCTGATATGCTCGAATGCGTAGGCGAAGCGGATGTAGTTTTCACAAGCACGACATCAGAGAATCCTTTGATTTTAAAACAACATGTTAAGGAACTTCCTTTCGCAAGCGAAGAAATGGGACAAAAGCGCCTCTTCGTCGATATTTCTATTCCGAGGAACGTAGGTTCGTGCATCGATGACCTCGAATCAGTCAAAGTTTACAATGTCGACAACCTTAAAGAGGTAGTGGCTGCTAACAAAGAGGACAGACTGAGAAAAGCAATGGAAGCACAAGTGATCATCGGCGAAGAATCGGGCCAATTCGAAGCATGGAGAGACTCGTTAGAAACTGTTCCTACTATCAAGAAATTGAGAGCTTATGCTGAAAGGTTAAGGATTGCTGAGGTTGAGAAATGTTTAGGTAAAATGAGTGATGAGGATATAAATAAGAAGACACAAAAAGCAGTGGATGATCTTGGTAGAGGTATAGTGAATAAAATGCTTCATGGTCCAATGCAACATTTGAGATGTGATGGGAGTGATAGTAGGACTTTGAGTGAAACACTTGAGAATATGCATGCTTTGAATAGAATGTTTGGTCTTGAAACTGAGGTTTCTGTTTTGGAGCAGAAGATTAGAGCTAAAGTGGAGCAAAAACCATAGTGAGATTAATATGAGACCATTGTTGTTGATTAAACTCATTTGTTTAGGATTGAGAATCATGTCAAAAGACAATGATAAAACAGAGAACAATAATAAAACCTCAACATTGTATGAAAAACATAGAACAGTGATGAAACCAACCTGAATGTAGTTAATTATATCAAAGTTTGCAAGTCTTGATCCACCCTCTTGCTGTCTACAGAGCCACTGATCAAGTTTTTCCTGAAATCAAAAAAACATCCAACATTAACGAAATGCCAATTTTTGCTTGGATTGAAAAGAAGAATCGATTAATTGTGACTAAATCACACCAAAACAACAGAAGCCTTATCACTCAAACTAGAACAAACTTTTCAACTCATCTTCAACCAATGTACTGACTTTTTTGCTCTCCATAAAACTTCATTCCTCTCTTCTCTTCCTTCTTCCATGTCTACATTCTTTCTTCTGCACTCAACTCAGATGGCATAGCATTTATATCATTCAATTCCCACTAGATATCACTTCCGCCTCTCATAAAATCAACATGAGTTCCTTCTCATTCAAAACCATACTCATGGGCTGGTCTCAAATACAACTCTTTCCACCGTGTAATCTCTCTCAACATTGATATTTACGGTTAACTAGGACTAGAAATTGAAAATTGCACACAACTTCAACACATAGACCTTAGTTAAAACTAATTCAATGGCCAAATACCTTACACTTCATGCCACTACTCACAACTGCTCACATCAATAACCAGCTCATCTCTCACCATTCAGGCACACATCAATAACACAAGCCTTATCACTCAAATTTCACGAACCCTCACAACTGCAACTTAACCTCACAAACCCTCATTACAGCTACTTAAAATCACAAATATCCGTCAACACAAAGACATCATAACGCTCACAAACAACACAGAGAATCAACGGATAACAGAAACTGAAAAAAGAAATATTACCGGATACAAATGAAGAGAGGGATGACGACGACGTAGGTGAGATGACAAAGGGTTGAGTTCGACGGAGAATGAGATTTGGTTGTTCTTTCTTTTCGGTGTTTCCTCCTTCTGTTTGAGTGTCGTTTGAGAAGTGAATCTGAATCTGAATCGATGGTGAATCCGATGGCTGAAGAATGGATCCGGGTGAAAACCGAAGGAAGGGATGACGGTGGTAAATCAATGACTAACGGCGGTGAATCAATGAAAACCGAAGGAAGCAGAGGAAGATTTGACGGCGGTGAATCAGTTGGGAGAATCAATGGCTAAGAAGGAAGCAGAGGAAGATAGTGTTTTTGTTTTTGGCGGTGAGTGGATGCGGGAAACGTGTTTTGTTTTTCTGAAAATGTGTTTTGTTTTTCTGAAAATGTGTTTTGTTTTTTTTTTTATCAATTAATTAATTAATTCATTATTATATATAACATAGCGCTTTTTAATAAATGCTATTATATAGGTAGTCAAATAATAGCGTTTTATACAAAATGCTATCTTAAAGAAGTTTAATAATAGCGTTCTGGTACAAAGTGCTATCATAATTACATAGTCTGTATTATATAATAGCGCCCGATTAAAAAGTGCTATTATAAATGTGTTTTTTCCATTTTAATAGCATTTTTTTTAAAAGTGCTATTAAATTAGGTGATACAAAAAATCATTTTTGGCGTAGTGTATTATCACTCCATTCATCATAGTTGTTGCTATTGGATGTGAAAACATTGGATTCACTATCAAAGAGGCAAAACGTCGATATTCCTTTGCTGACAAACTTGTTTCTCTCCATGACACTTCGTCCAGATATGAGCCTATCAATCCTGAAAATCTTCTACCCATTCCCAGATTTTAGTATAAGCTTCTGTTAACAAACTTTCATCCTCAAGGAACCTTTAAAAATATCCTCACTCCTTATGATCGAATTTTCCCCACACTCCTGATCAATCAAATCTGAATCAACCTACCTCAAACTATCTTCAACTTTCTGCAAAAATCCATTACCTCCTCCAGAAGTGAGAACAAGTCCTTCATACCTTTTGGAAGAAATCTTTCTGAAGTCCTCTTTAAAGAAGGGGTTGTTGAATTTTTCAGGCTAAATGAACCAGGAAATGCCCTTATAAAGAATTTATGTAACATCTTTGAAGGGAAATAAGAGGTTTTAAGGTCTCCTAAAATGTATTTGTGTCTCATCTATGCATATCATGTCTATACTTTTGTCATCCCAAATGAATTTTTCCTTTTGCGGTTTAATTTTTTTAAAGTATGCCAACTAAGTTCTTGTCTCATCATGTTTTTTTAAGTCTAAGAAGTCTAGGTTTGTTTCATGTTCGTGTAATTCCTCTTGTACCTCTTTGATATATCTTTAATGAGAATTTTTCACTGTTTATGTCCTCCTGTTTCCTCTTATGTGCTTAAATTTATTTCAATCAATGAAATATCTTTTTGATTATGACAAAAAGGGGGAGAAAGCATAATGATGATTTTGATGCATACCTAACTCTCTAAATCTCATTACTTACGTTTCTAATGAATATATATATATATATATATATATATATATATATATATATATATATATATATATATATATATATATATATATATATATATATATATATATATATATATATATATATATATATATATATATATATATATATATATATATATATATATATATATATATATATATGTGTGTGTGTGTGTGTGTGTGTGTGTGTGTGTGTGTGTGTGTGTGGTGGGGGGGGGGGGGGGGGGGGGGTGTAAGAGTTGTTAGAATGTGTTTTCAGGTACAAGATAAAGGATCTAATGTTTAAGAACTTCTAATATCTAGAAGGTTCTAACAGATCAAGCTTTGATGAGGAACTTCTATTTAGAAGGTTATGTTGATCAAACTTTAATAAAATAAACTCTAATGCATAGAAAGTTCTAAAAGATCAAGTGTCCACTGAAAATCAAACTCTGATAAAGAATTTCCTGACGATCATAATGTTCTAACAGATCGAGTATTGATAACAAACTTCTAAACTTTAGAAGTGTCTGATAGATCAAGTTGTGATAACAAACCTCTGTATTTATTAGAATATTCTAATGGAGAAAGAAATTCAGATAAATCAAACTCTAATAAAATTTCTTCCATTCGCTTCAATCAGAATTCTGGAAAATGTTAACCAGGCTCAAAAAGCCCTAGTTTCTGATAAGGTCTTAAGTTTTAGATTCAGAGAGAGATTGTTTAACTCATGGGGAGTTTTCTAAACAATGCTAAAATATCCCTTCCTTCTAAAAACTGTAAGTGTTAGACTCAAGGGGAGCTCGCGCTAATCAGGGGAAGTTTTCTTCTTAACTTTGATTTGATTATGATATTACCTTGTAAAATTGTTACAATAAAATACATGGTTTTGTCATCATCAAAAAGGGGGGAGATTGTTAGAACAAGATTTGGACTCTACAATTAATCTCTGGATTTTGATGATAACAATAGATATATTTTATATGTAAACATTATTTTTTTATAATAGTTTCTTGAGTGTGCATATTAGAAGTTCTAGCTGATTCAGGACTGTTGTCTAAAGAATCATCAGAAAGCGCACATCGGAAAGACTGTTTGCATCCGCCTCTGGAGAAATATCAGTAGTTTTGAAGAATGTTGAATGTTCACTAGAAAGAAGATCTCAATGTGTACTTCTCTATAAGTTGCTGCTTCAGAAGTCACAAGTATTATAGAAGAAAGAATTTTGTTAGATTTACTGCTCCAAGATCAGAAAACAAGATTGCAACAGAAACAAGTTTTTCCGTTAAAGATCAGAAGTCAATATTTGTTCATCAGAAATGACACCGCTTCTAATTCTGAAGACAAAATCATGATTCTGAACACATCAAAATAAAAGCTTCTACCTTTGAATAAGAAGTCAATATTTGTTCATTAGAAAAGCTGTTGCTTCTAACTCTGAAGACAAAGTCAAGATTCTGAAGACTCAGATACTTTGTGGAATATGCGCACATCACTTCACATGTGAAAGCATTCCATCAAAAGACAAATCAAGGAAAGATAGATCTTCTGGACTCATTACTATCTACATCATATAGTCCATCAGAAGACAGATCAAGGAAAGGTAGATCTTCTGGACTCATTATTATTCTACATCATATAGTCCATCAGAAGACAAGATCAAGATGATATCTTCTCAAGCTAATATACTCATCAAAAGTAATATTCATCATAAGACACTATCATCGGAAATGTGCGCTAGAAGAGATAGTATAATAGTATAATTTCCCATTCCACTCAAATGGATGTACTATGTACTATTTGTCTCCCACAATCGTTACTTACCGTTATGGAAGCTGGCAATGAAAGTAACGTGTGTACTACTACAATGGTTTACTTCTTCAACACTTATATAAAGGTTCAGGAAACTCATTTCAAATTGACAAATTTACGAACATACAACAAGAGAACAAGAACAGTGACGCTGTAAAATAAATAAAAAACGTGAAGAAATCAATTAAGAGAAAAGATTAAAAACACAAAGATTTGTTGCTCGTTATTTATGTTGATATTAGTTATTCATTGTTCATCTAAGAAAGAAGAAAAAGACACAAGATTTGTTGCTCATTAATTGTGTTATTATTTGTTCTTCATTTGTTGATTAGAACACAAGAGATTGTGCTCATATTTGTGTTATCATTATAAATTGTTTGAACTCAAGAGTTGTTGCTCATATTTGTGTTAAACAATCTGGAATTAAAAATTTATGAAATCCGCTTATTAGAAGAAAACTTGTAAACACATCATTCAATGGCTAGTTAATTAAGTCCTTTTCTAAGGCCTAGAGAAATCTCCTTCAAGGGACCGGGTAGATCAGAAGCCTTAAGGAGTCAGTGATCGTTATATCTCTTAGGGGACCAGGTAGGTTATAATTCTTAAAGGATCACTTACATGTTATCATTGTTGTTGTTAGCCACCAGCGGGTAGTCCGTGCAATTGTAATCAATTTGGTTATAGTGGATTAAGTCATTTTCTAAGGCGAAATCACCTTGACGAGTGGACAGGATAAACTTTTCTAAGGTGAACCTGGATAAACCGAATGTGTCAATATTTCTATTCTAAAGCATTGTTTCTAATTCTAATTGTCTGTGTTGAGCACTTCTAAATGAAAAAGTTTTTAAAAACCCAATTCAAACCCTCATTTTCTTGTGTTTTTCTCAATCTTCAGCCTTATCAAATGCTTATAGCATAGCTTGTGGTGCTCATCAGGATGGGCATAAAATGAAATGGTTATCACTTCGACAAGGTATTTATTGGCCTACAATGTTAAAGGATTGTATCGAATTCTCCAAAGGTTGTCAAGAATGCCAAATATATGCGACATTCAACATGTTCCTGCATGTGAATTGCATGATATTGTAAAACCATGGCCATTCAGAGGATGGGCTTTAGATTTGGTTGGAGTGATTCGATCAACATCTTATAAAATCCAAAAGTGCATTTTAGTCAGTATTGACTACTTTACTAAATGGATAGAAGCCATACCCTTTGGTCAATGTAAACCAGGAGGCAGTAATAGACTTTATGCAAAAGCACCTTATTTACATATTTGAAACCCCTGAGACCATTACGACTAATCAAGGGTTAGTGTTTACTGGTCGAAAGATGCAGGACTTCACTTCTGGGGTAGGGATTAAATTGTTAACATCTAAGCCTTATTATGTTCAGACGAATGGCCAGGTCGAGGCGGAAAATAAGGTCATAATTGGTTTAATAAAAAAATATGGAAAAGAAGCTAAAAAATTGGCATAAAAGTTAGACCAAGTTTTATGGGCATGTCGAACTTCTCCTAAGAAGGTGACAGACACTACTCCATTTCAATTAACTTATGGACATGATGTTGTCCTACCAATCAAAATATACCCATCGACTAGAATTCAAAGACAATGAAATTCCATATGAATATTATTAGAGTATGATGTTAGATGAACTAGTCGATTTAGATGAAGAGAGGATTTCTACGTTAGACATTTTGATAAGGCAGAAAGAGCGGATGGCCAAAGTCTATAACAAAAGGGTTAGAGTTAAAAAATTATCGACTGGAAATTATTTTTGGAAAGTTATTTTGCGCATGGATCGTAAAGATATGACTCTAGGCAAATGGTTTCCTAACTATGAGGGTTCATTTCGGATAATTTAAGTGTTCTCGAATAATACTTATGAGATCAAAGAGATGGAACATGACGTCGAATCCTGAATGTAAACGGTAAGTATTTGAAAAGATACAAGCCTGTGCTACAGAGAGTCCAACTAAATTGTTGACATCTAAGCCTTATTATGTTCAGACGAATGGCCAGGTCGAGGCGGGAAATAAGGTCATAATTGGTTTAATAAAAAAATGTGGAAAAGAAGCCAAAAAATTGGCATAAAAGTTAGACCAAAGGTTTTTATGGGCATGTCGAACTTCTCCTAAGAAGGTGACAGACACTACTCCATTTCAATTAACTTATGGACATGATGTTGTCCTACCAATCAAAATATACATATCGACTAGAATTCAAAGACAATGAAATTCCATATGAATATTATTAGAGTATGATGTTAGATGAACTAGTCGATTTAGATGAAGAGAGGATTTCTACGTTAGACATTTTGATAAGGCAGAAAGAGCGGATGGCCAAAGTCTATAACAAAAGGGTTAGAGTTAAAAAATTCTCGACTGGAAATTGTTTTTGGAAAGTTATTTTGCGCATGGATCGTAAAGATATGACTCTAGGCAAATGGTTTCCTAACTATGAGGGTTCATTCGGATAATTTAAGTGTTCTCGAATAATACTTATGAGATCAAAGAGATGGAACATGACCGTCGAATCCTGATATAAACGGTAAGTATTTGAAAAGATACAAGCCTATGCTACAGAGAGTCCAACTAATTGTTTGCAAGTTCTTGTTTCCTAATCATAGCATATTTGATGTTTTTGATTAATAATAATAATTTGCATTGCATGTTACAATGATTAATATTGGGCCAATGGATGCAAGTGTATAGCAGCCAATCGTGTGTTGTTCAAACAGAGCAATTTCAATTGTTATGAATATTTTCATTGCATATATATGTCATTAACAAGCATATTATTTTTATTTATTTATTTTAGATTAGAAACATTCATATTGTTTTCTTATAGAATGATAATTAATATATATATATATATATATATATATATATATATATATATATATATATATATATATATATATATATATATATATATATATATATATATATATATATATATATATATATATATATATATATATATATATATATATATATATATATATATATATATATATATATATATATATATATATATATATATATATATATATATATATATATATATATATATATATATATATATATATATATATATATATATATATATATTTATTTATTTATTTATTTATTTATTTATTTATTTATTTTTGCTATTGTCTTTGCTGACTAACTTTAAAAAATTACATCTAAAAAAGATGTGAAAAGTTTTGAGAAGGATGGGGAAGTTGTTGCAAAATGGGGGAAAGATATTAAAACATAAACTTTGCTGAAAATTTGCATTGAAGAAATATAAGAGGGTTATAGGGCAACTACACACTTCAGTAAAGAAGGGTGGAAGAATAATATTGAAAAATTTCAAAAGAATAATGGATATGCTTATGATCGCACTCATCTTAAAAATAGATAGAATACATTGAAAAGATAGTTTCCATCTTCTCTGAAGTTAGTGGATAAGAAAATTAGAGTAGAATGAGATCATGAAAAGAAAACTATCTTGGCTGATAATGATTTGTGGGCTTAAAAGAGTAAGGTGTGGTTGTGTCACTGTATACTATATTATTATTTTATTAATTTTTATGAGTTTTTCTACGATATCTGTTTTGAATGTTTATTTATTTTTCAGGAGGATCCAGATATTTTGAAATGGAAACATGGAGAACCTAAGTTTATTGACTTGCTAGATAAATGTTTCAAAGGTGTCATAGCTACTGGATTCACCCTTTATAAACCATATGAAGAGCTATCACGTGAAGGATCAAAATCTCTTTTTGAATACGGTCGTGAGAATAACATAATTACTGAGGATGAATGAGATGGAGATAGCTTTGATGTTGGAAATGAAGTACAACCCAATCCAACACCAAGTTATTCTGAAAAGAGAAAGATTTCAGAGAAAGGAGAAAAAAATCAGGGCAACAGAGAAACTTCAATGATCTCTTGATCGTATACTCAATGGGTTTAGGCCAAGCCAACAAGGACTCCCAAAAGACAATATTAGTTATGAAAAATATTTGAAAATGTGGGATGAAATAACATCCTTTTTAAAAAGGATCACCTTTACACTTTAAGGTTGTTAGAATCTGATCTTACCTGATCAGACTTGGACTGTCACGGCTGACTCCGAGCGAAAGTTGAACGAGATGGGGAGGGGGGGGGGTACCTGCAAGGCACTCCGATGCTAAAGTGAGTGATGGTACGAGCAGGCAAAAAGTGTGTGTATGGTAAAAGAATGAATACCTGACCCTCTGGGAACATAGGGTATTTATAGCCCCCAGCGCGGGGTCAAGGTCCTCTCATTGGACCGACCAGGACTGGCCCAACAAAGGGACTGCCAGGTTCTACGTGTGTAGTGGGGACCCGCACGTGGTCCCCTTCTTGGTGATGCTCTGCGAGAAATACGGAGGGACGAGGACGCGGTCTTTCCGGAGTTCAGGTGATGGAGTAACGGTCATAGTCTACCCTACAAGGAGGGTGCTCGAGCTGGGCTCGAGCTGGATGTCATGTGGTCGGGGACGTCATGTTCGCGGGAAGTGGCGGGCACGGCTACAGCTTCTGGTCGAAGCGCTGACGGGAATCTTCGAGCACGCGCTCCTTGAAGAGTTGCTTGGATTGGGCCTTCGTTCTTGCTCTCGGGCCAGGACGGGCTCAGTCCAGAACAGGAGCCCCCCAAGTCGTGGCTCCTGGAGCAGAAGTTATGACTTGATCTCAGCTCGTCTTCGTCACGGGGCCTTATGCTCGGCCAGAATATTTGCTTCCCTGTGGTTGCTCGAGGAGTTTCTCCTGTGTTGCGTTCGTGAGATAATCCCTTACGAGGCGTGCTCGGGGGGGCTCTTTGCGGGCTGTGCTCGTTGAGTATACGAAGCAACCCTTGGGAACTGTGACGCCACCCTAGTGAAAGTAGAGTCATTATTACCTAGGGGAGTAGACGTCGAGGAGGGGAAGCTCGTGGTTCCCCGGGGTGATGTTTCGTATTCCACATCATCCCTATAAATAGGATCATTGGGTCCCATAATCTGTTTTTCCTCTTCGCGCTTCTCCTCCTTCCTCTGTCTTTGCCGCCGCTGTTTTTCCAGAATTTCATAGGACCATCGTGCTTTCCACCGTCGATTTTCTTCCCTGCCGCCGTACATCCTTCCTAACTTCCAAGTAAGCGTTTCATCCCTCATATTTTTCCCTGTGGTAGGTGATTTTTTCTGTTATTTGTACGTTAGAAATTCGCATCTGGGATTAGTGCCCGGTGCATTCATGTTCATGCCCGGTACGTTCATGTTTTTGCCTGGTAAACGCATGTTAGTTCCCGGTAGACGCATATTTTAGGCATGTGACTCGCGATGCTGCCCGAGATCTTCATGGTTTTGGGCGTATAACCTATGATATTTCCCGGTAACTCATAGTTCTAGGTTTAGGATTCATAATATTTCTTGTCATATCCATAGTTTAGGTCGACGTGCTCATGACTGGCCGGGATGTTGGCCCATTTAGGCAGTATGTAGGACGACTCGTCGTGGCACCTTGGCGTCGAGGAGGTGAAACCAGGCTCTTGTTTGGGTCCTCAATGTTTTAACGTGCGCGGAGTATGACTTGGCTTGTCGTGCCCTTCTTCCCGTCAGTTATGGCGAGCGTACGGATTTGCTCCCAAATTGACCGGTTTCCTGTGCTTTGCAGGTAAAATGGCCGATGAACCGGAGTCCTCGGGGCGCAACAAGGTCGATGACCAGAATGCCAAGGAAAATGTAACTCTAATTGATACCATTGATGATCCTTTGTTGGATTGGGTGGGCGCCGAGCCTAGAGGGATTGCCTCGGCATATAGTCGGCGCAGCCGGAGCGCCTACACTATCGTCGAGCATGGCGGTAGTCAGCCGGGCTTCCAAAAAAAATTCGTTGTCACCAGATCGTCTCTTGACGCGTGGATCTGCTCGAAGTTCTCTGAGTATGGTTTTCCCATGTATGAAATCACGTTCAAGGACCTTGGTCTCAAGCTCCCCTTTAGTGATTTCCAGGTCGGGGTATTCAGTCATCTGGAGTTGGCCCCCTCGCAGCTTCGCCCCAACTCGATCTCCTTTCTTCGGGCGTTCGAGCTGACGTGTCGCTTTTTAAGGATTGGGGCGACCATCCCTCTCTTCTTCATAGTCTTTCATTTGCAACGCCAGTCTCGGGGAGGTAGGCACAGTTGGGTTTCCCTGAAACAGTCGAAGAGGCTGTTCAGGATGTACATGGATTCTGTCCGGGGTTTCAAGGACAAATGGTATGTCGTGAGGCCGATCACCCAGACTGCTCTGGATTCTGTCTATGAAGAAGAGACTGCAGTGACCGATGGTAACGGGGATCCTCTTATGGACGATGAGGGTCGCCCGGTGTTGGGGCGCGTGGCTAAGTTTCCATTGCATTGGTGCTCGCGCCATTACGAGCATGGTACCGGGCATTACCATACGCCTGCGGGAGGGATGAGTACCAAGGACGAGGAAGCCTACGGTACCCTTTGCAGATATGTTGATAGTTTCTTCCCTGCTCGGTGGGCCACGAGGGAAGGGAAGGACATTCTTGACGAGGACGGTTACCCGACCTTCGAGGCCCGTCCTATAGATACAAAGGCACTTGTCGATTGTCAGTCCTACGGGCAGGCCGTGAACCTACTAGGTTACTTTTTGTCTTATAGTTTTGTTCTACTTTCTTCGTTTGTTACTTGCTCGTAACTAACCCGAGCTTTCATTTTTGCAGGTCATATAGCCGAACGAAAGGAGAGGCTTCTAAAATTGACACAGGATAAGAAAGTCAACAAAAGGATGGTGCGAGCCCCCCAGGCGACGAGGATGGGTCCGCTAACTAGCTCGGGTGATGCTTCTGGCGGGTCCCCGGATTCCCAGGACGTCGAGCAGCATATTGATCTAATACCGAGGAAGAGAAACCGGGTAGAGAGCCAGCCAGAAGTCGGAGACGAGTCTGGCGCGGTGAGGGCCTTTGGCTTGCCCCCTGCTTTAAAGAGGAAAGCTTCTTCGAGGGGTTTCCCTTGACTGTAAGTGCCGAGGAGGCTGACACCAGCAGGCGGCTAAGTAAAGAAAGTCGGAGAAAGCATCTGGCCGCCAACATGGTCGGGATGGTTAAGATGGCCGAGATGGTCGTTGTCCTTGCTGAGGAGGGGGCAGACTCTGACCGCGTCAAAGAACTGGAGCAAGAGAAAGCTGCCCTTGCTGCGGGCTCTCGAAAGTTGAAGGCTGCTCTAGAGCGTTCTGAGGAGATGTTCCGCGAGCAAGCTGAGCTGCTGGCCGTGGAGAAGGAGAGCTCGGGGAAGGTTGCCGAGGAGAGGGACTATTTTCGACTGGACCGGGAATGCTTGGAGGCCGATGACGAGCGTCTGGCCAAAGAAGTCGAGGATCTGAAGGCCGCCATGCTCCCTGCCGAGGATGAGTCAGAGGAGACAGCCCCCTTGCGGAGTCGCTCGGAATTGGTCGCTCATATTCAACTCCTCGAAACGGACTATGTTGGCGCCTTGGCGGATGGTTTTGAGGCCGCGGTTAGCCAACTCACTTTATTGAATCCTGGTCTGAATACCGAAGGGGCGAGTTTTATGTCCCAGATCATCGACGGCCAGGTCATGCCTCCGCCCGAGTCTCCTGTCGTGGATGCTGGTAGTCCCGGGGAAGTCTAGCCTGTGGAGTTCTGGTCGGGCATGCGCGCCTGTTTATTGATAGTTATTTTGGGGCCTGCATGCCCGTGTATATTTTTTGGGGCCTGCATGCCCGTGCCTGTAATTTCTGAACACCGTCGGCCTCATTGATCGGTTTATTTTTATTTGTTTTTGCTCACGATCCTTTGAATGAATGTTTGTTTCGACCCTTAATATTTGCCTGTGTCTTCGTTTCTATATTTTGTGATAAAATTTGCCTAAGTTATGTCCCCGAGTCTCGCCCGTGTTTGGCTGTTTTGTGGCAAAATTCGCCTAAGTGTTTTCCTCGGGGCATGCTCGTGCTCAGCTTGCCATTTTATGGCTAAATTAATCTAAGTGTTTTCCTCGAGTGGAGATTCTTTCGACCATTTGGTGGTCCGACGTACTTCGAAATGCGTCGGGCGTGCGGAAAAAGCCGCTTACTCAGGTGTATGACCCAGATCGGGGTCGTTTTCCCGTGGTGTGAACTGCCCATCGCAAGCTGGGTGTTCTTCCATACGGGTACTTCGACGGTGGAGATCGATTGAGGTGTCCATGTCGGGCACTATCGTTCGTGCTCGTTTTGGCCGAACGACGTCGTGTCGTTTGGGCGTAGATCGGGCCTGTACCTTGGCCTTTCTACGTGGTTGAGACGTTCCTCCCCGTTGACTAGGTGAGGATGTATGACGATGATAGTCCTTGGTGTTAAGGGTTTTTAACTATAGTACTGCTTTAGTTTAGCAGTGTTCCAGGGTCGTGGCAGTGGTTCTCCGTCTAGTTGCTCGAGGTAGTATGCCCCGGTACCTATGGTGTCGTGGACGCGATAAGGCCCTTCCCAGTTCGCAGCCAGTTTCCCTTTGCGGGAGTCTTTCTGGTTTCTTCGTAACACCAGGTTGCCGATTTGGAACTCGCGTTTAATGACCTTGTCGTTGTGGCGCAGGGCCACTCGTTGTTTTAGGGTGGCCTCGCGTAGGGCCGCCCCCGATCGAATTTCCTCGACTAAGTCGAGTTCGTCCCTTAGTACCTCGTCGTTCATCTCTTCGTCGAGGGGAGTTTCTGTCCGCCTGGAGGGTTCCCTGATTTCTACTGGGATGACGGCCTCAGTGCCGTATGTCATTCAAAAAGGGGTCTCGCCCGTCGTCGAATGGGGTGTGGTGCGATATGCC